CCACCCTCATTTCGGCGCACCCCTCACAGGGTTCGTGACCCCACAGGGAGCTCCACCGAAGGCCCCAGTGGCAGCGTTCGCATGCAGTTCCACCCTCATTTCGGCGCACCCCTCACAGGGTTCGTGGCCCCACAGGGAGCTCCACCGAAGGCCCCAGTGGCAGCGTTCGCGTGCAGTTCCACCTTCCTTTCGGTGCACCCCTCACAGGGTTCGTGGCCCCACAGGGAGCTCCACGGAAGGCCCCAGTGCAGCGTTCGCATGCAGTTCCACCCTCATTTCGGCGCACCCCTCACAGGGCTCGTGGCCCCATAGGGATCTCCACCGAAGGCCCTAGTGGCAGCGTTCGCATGCAGTTCCACCCTCATTTCGGCGCAACCCTCACAGGGGTCGTGGCCCCATAGGGAGCTCCACCGAAGGCCCCAGTGGCAGCGTTCGCATGCAGTTCCACCCTCATTTCGGCGCACCCCTCACAGGGTTCGTGGCCCCACAGGGAGCTCCACCGAAGGCCCCAATGGCAGCGTTCGCATGCAGTTCCACCCTCATTTCGGCGCACTCCTCCCACGGTTCGTGGCCCCATAGGGAGCTCCACCGAAGGCCCCAGTGGCAGCGTTCGCGTGCAGTTCCACGCTCATTTCGGCGCACCCCTCACAGGGTTCGTGGCACCACCAGGGGGCTCCACCGAAGGCCCCAGTGGCAGCGTTCGCATGCAGTTCCACCCGCATTTCGGCGCACCCCTCACAGGGTTTGTGGCACCATAGGGAGCATCATCGAAGGCCCCAGTGGCAGCGTTCGCATGCAATTCCTCCCTCATTTCGGCGCACCCCTCACAGGGTTCGTGGCACCACAGGGGGCTCCACCGAAGGCCCCAGTGGCAGCGTTCGCATGCAATTCCACCCTCATTTCGGCGCACCCCTCCCACGGTTCGTGGCCCCACAGGGAGCTCCACCGAAGGCCCCAGTGGCAGCGTTCTCATGGCATGCAGTTCCACTTTCATTTCGGAGCACCCCTCACAAGGTTCGTGGCCCCATAGGGGGCTCCACCGAAGGCCCCAGTGGCAGCGTTCGCATGCAATTCCACCCTCATTTCGGCGCACCCCTCCCACGGTTCGTGGCCCCACAGGGAGCTCCACCGAAGGCCCCAGTGGCAGCGTTCGCATGCAGTTCCACCCTCATTTCGGCGCACCCCTCACAGGGGTCGTGACCCCACAGGGAGCTCCACCGAAGGCCCCAGTGCAGCGTTCGCATGCAGTTCCACCCTCATTTCGGCGCACCCCTCACAGGGTACGTGGCCCACCAGGGAGCTCCACCGAAGGCCCAGTGGCAGCGTTCGCATGCAGTTCCACCCTCATTTCGGCGCACCCCTCACAGGGTTCGTGGCCCCATAGGGAGCTCCACCGAAGGCCCCAGTGGCAGCGTTCGCATGCAATTCCACCCTCATTTCGGCGCACCCCTCCCACGGTTCGTGGCCCCACAGGGAGCTCCACCGAAGGCCCCAGTGGCAGCGTTCGCATGCAGTTCCACCCTCATTTCGGCGCACCCCTCACAGGGGTCGTGACCCCACAGGGAGCTCCACCGAAGGCCCCAGTGCAGCGTTCGCATGCAGTTCCACCCTCATTTCGGCGCACCCCTCACAGGGTACGTGGCCCAACAGGGAGCTCCACCGAAGGCACCAGTGGCAGCGTTCGCATGCAGTTCCACCCTCATTTCGGCGCACCCCTCACAGGGTTCGTGGCCCCATAGGGAGCTCCACCGAAGGCCCCAGTGGCAGCGTTCGCATACAATTCCACCCTCATGTCGGCGCACCCCTCACAAGGTTCGTGGCCCCACAGGGAGCTCCACCGAAGACTGTACTTACAAGTGCGGCACTCACAAAAGCATATGGTTGGGTCCTTCGCCAGGCTAAGTTGCCGCCATCTCGCCATCGCTATCTCGACCAGCCCGTCGATGCATTCAGACCAGACAAGGGACCCGCACGCCTTTTCCAGTACTGAAGGCCAGGTCCACGAGGCGCCTCGCAAGAGCCATGGATGCGAGAGACCCGATACAACAGCAGCACTAGTGTGTCCACCAGTCCACCGACGTCGTCGGCGCATGCGCGAAGACGGCCTCCTCGACGATCCTCGTAACCTTAATTCCAGATCGCAGATGAAGCGACATTTGGATCATGCACAGAGGCTCAAACTCAACGCGCAGCCCTGGACGATGCCCAGTCTCGAGTGCAAATAAAAAGACAAGTGGCCCTCCCAATCGATAAATAGCCATCACAGACATATGCAGAGCACGAGCTGCTGCAAGACATCCCCTCGGCAACCGAAGACGAACCAATACAAACTTCATGAACTGCTGGTGAAAAGAAAACTGGACGAAGACCAAACAAGATCATGGAAGGCTATCGCTGTAGAGCGTCGGGATGGCCAGACATCACATGTGTATGCCCATCGCTTTCAACAACGTTCACACAACAAATAGGCCCCCATATAACGAAACCTCGCCGTGAGCGAGGCGCAGCGCGTTGCACTGCCGCCTGGATCGAGAAGTTCAGCGTCACACTTTAAAGCTTGACGTCAGCGTTGCGCAGTCCAAGTAAGAGAACTTTGTCGGGACTGCGACTGTTGCCGCCATGGTCGGGATCAATTGGGTCGACATCTTTGGGTCGGAAATATTGAAATATAAACCCGTGAGCAAGGTTGAGGAGTTCACCGTCCATTATTTAGCAAAGAAGATCCCATATGTGGGACAGCCGCATGTTCGTAGGGCTTCGCAGTCGAAGTGGGTCCCCAAATAATCAACAAGTCCAGCCAACTTCTCGGGCGCACTGGTGAAAACGCTGTCGTTGGCAGCCAGCGAAGCGAGGGTCAACCGCCTTCCGAATGGTACCCTTAATCGAGCCCGCCTGTCTAAAGCACGTAGCCGGGCACGAGCTGCATTCGAAGCATGATCAAATCCAGACCGTGCTGATTGCACCCGTCGTCCGGCATCGTGACGGTGTATTGACGTAGACCATTGCTGAAACGTCTCATGGTGTGGGAGAACGACGCGGCCACAAGAGATGGACAGAAAAACTCCTGCAAGAACGTCTGAAAATATGATCCGTCCAGCCAGCAACTCATCGATACGCCACACGCACCGTGCAATCTGACGAGCAAGTAGAACCTGAGAGCGGACAGACTGAGGGTCATGTTGAATCCACACATCCCTGACCTCGGGCGCAGCTTCGCGCATGTGACCTGTATAGACATCAAGCCACACAGGAGGAGGGAGGAGGGAGGGAGGGAGGGAGGGAGGGAGGGAGGGAGGAGGAGGAGGAGGAGGAGGAGGATGAGGAGGAGGAAGAGAAGGACCCCGGCGGCAGGTGGAGGTCGGAGAAAAAAGGTGGTGCAGCTGGTCGAAGGCTGCAACTTCTGGACCAACACCACCAGGGGCCAGCGACAGAGCGAACCCCCACGAGGATCAGATTTCGCTTGCTGTGAGTGGGCGGGAAGACGCCACGCACGCTCAATGGAGACGGCCAGCAAACCCGACGAACAGTATGCACTCGAGTCATACTGGTACATGTGCGGAATAATAGAAGCGGCGGAAAAGGCATAACGATACCCAGAAGCTGGGGGGGGTGGGGAAAGGCAACCTGCATCAGGGCACCATCGCCCTACCATAGAAGACGCGGACCCTGTAATCTGTCATACCCCCTTGGCCTGCCATCCCTTCTGGAACGCTGCGGCCGCCGAGCGTCGGCATATCTACGCAGCCGGACTGAGCCAATAGCGGTGTGCTCCAATCCATGAGATGCTATTCTCTAGATGTCACGCTGAAGAGCTCCGGGCAAGGAGTGAGGGGCCGCCTTGGGCATGGGGAGGTTACGCAACATGCAAGTGCAATCCTGCCATCCATTCTATGGGAACGCGTTGGGGACAAGGGGGAGCAAAAGGGCTAATACGTGAGGCGGAAGATGATCAGGATGAGGCAGAGCGTCGAGACGACAACAAGGAAGGGGAGGAGGAGTGAGACGAGGAGGATGCGCAGGAGGAAGGGAAGGAATTATGGGACCAGAATAAACGCAATATTCACCAACGACTGCAATACACCCTCCCGTCCCAAGTCCCCTCCTCACAAGTTCCTACTGGCCTTATTTCTTACTGCGCGAAGCGACCTCGTGAGAGACCAGCATCCCATGGGCGTGCCATTCAAGCGACAACCCCGTTTTTGAAAAGACATTTCCTCGCATCCTGCTAGCGGATAACAACAACTGCTGAAACGGACTACCATACAATTCGTCGATCTGTCCAACGAAGTCCCCACTTGAAAAAGAGTTGCCCTCCGTGCATGCAGCTGCTGCGCATATTCATGGTTCTGGTCGTGCAACACCGAGGGAGCCTCAAGCGGCATCCTCATCTCGAAAAGGAGCCGCTCCCCATCCCTGTGGCTGCTGCAAGCTGTTGAGACGAGCTTGCGCGGCGCCAATGCGAGAGCCACACCTCGAAGCGGCGCCGCCCTCCAGCCTGGGGCTGCTGCAAGCTCTTGGGACGAGTGTGCGCGACGCTACGGCGACGGCCGCCCCGTGAGCACGGTCCGCCCTCCGTCCTGGCCCCCCTGGAGCACGACGGGCGAGCACGGCGCTCCGGCGCGCGCCGGCCTCTGGAAAAAGCACCCGCCCTCCCCCCCCCGGGAGGCTGCTGCAGTGCTCCAGCTCCAGGACCACGCGCTGTGATAGGGAGCCCACAAAGGACGTACGCGCCCAGCTATGTACATGAACACGGCCCCTCGATTCGCGAGACCAGCCGCGTTATACGAACATTTGTGCAATGCGTGCTCTCGAAACCAGCGCGGATTCATGCACATGTACGTCCTTCTTTCGCTCCTGATGTGAAGAGGTTTCGCTGACGCTGCTTGCAGCGGCCTGGCGCGCACGCGGTGCTGCTCCGGCGCGCTCGCGGCTGCCGTGCGGGACCGTCGCGCACGCGGCGCTGCAGTCCGAAAGGAAGGACGACCTCCCGCCCGCCGGGCCTGCGTGCGCCCCTCCCGGAGCCGCCAGCGGGGCCCCGGGCGCCCGCAGCTTGGCATTGTAGAGGGGCGTGCTGAGGGCCCCCTGGACCTGGCCGAGGCTGCCGCCCCCCGCCCCCCATCCCTCTCCCTCCTCCTCCCCCCTCCTCTTCCTCCTCCTCCTGCTCGTCCTCCGCCTCCTTCTCCTCCTCCTCCTCCTCCTCGTCGTCGTCGTCGTCCTCCGCCTCCTCCTCCGCCTCCTCCTCCTCCTCCTCCTTTTTGCCTCCGCGGGCCTCGCCGCGGGCGAAGGCCCGCTTGGGTCGAAGATGCGATTCCGCATCGGGTAAGACGGCACGCCTGAGACAGGCGACGGGCGCGGCCGACCCCCGTGGCCTGGGGCGGACGGGGGGGGAGCGAAGCAGAGGAGGGAGGGACGAGAGACAAGCCAGGAGCGGAGGAGGCCGAGCGGAGCAGGGGCGGGGAAGGCGAGCCAGCCCGAGAGGGCAGGAAGAGGAAGGATGGAGGGCCAGGAGGGAGAGCACGAGAGAGGACCAGAGAAAGAGGCAAAGCCCGAGCCAAGGGCCAGCACGACCCGAACGGACGCGAACGCAACACCCGCCCGGGGGCAAGAGCGAGAGCACGGAACGACCCGACGCGCATTTTTTCTCTCCTTCGCCTCCTCCTCCGCCTCCTCCTCCTCCTCCTCGTCGTCGCCGTCGTCGTCGTCGTCGTCGCGCCCCCCGAGGCCGGTCGAAAGGGCGGGCCAGGCGTTTCGCCTGAGACGTCCTTACCACTGATGACCCTAAAGCTTAAGAGCTCACAGCAGTTTCACAGGTGGAGGGCGGGTGGTTTTCAACATGTGGCGCTTGCCTTAAAGCCGCGCGCACTCACCTTGAACATTTGCAAGAGTTTCGCGGATTGAAGGCAGGTGGTTTTCAAACTGTGGCTCTCGCCCCAGCGCGGCGCGCACTCGTCTTAAGAAATTGCAAGAGCTCCACGGATTGAGGGCGGGTCGTTTTGAAAATGTGGCTCTCGCATTAGCGCCGCGAGCATTCATTTTGAAACATTGCAAGAGCTTCACGGGCTGAAAGCGGTCCCTTCTCAACATGTGGCTCTCGCCTTCGCGCCGCGCACATTCGTCTTAAACATATGCAATCAGTTTCACGGATTGAGGGAGGTTTCTTTTCAACATGTGGCTCTCGCCGTGGCGCCGTGCACATTCGTCTTATATCTTTGCAGCACTTTCGCGGGTTCTCATGTAGCGTACCATAAATGGCGTTTTGGAGCGATTCAGGTTTACCATGGCACAGCAGTTACGCGAATTCGCGGAGTTGAAGTACCAGGAATGGTGTTCTGACACGGTTCAGGATCGTCAAGACGCAGCAGTCAGGTTGTGGCGTTGAAGTCCCGAGAGTGCTGTTCTGGCACGCTGCAGTATCTTCAAACGGGTGTCCCCCAACGGGGCACTTCCTTCAGTGGAAATGAACTCTTGCAGGGGCCTAAGAAGAGGGAGCTTGGGAGGAGGCCTTCTTCCAGCGTCGTTCATGAATCTTGGGTTTGCACTGGTCCTCCTCCTCCCCCTCCTTCCTCGCACCTCCGCCCCCGCCCCCCGTCCTCCCCCCCTCCTCTCGTAGTCTTCCTCGCCCACACTCCTCCCTTCCTCCTCTCAGGTTCGTTTTTTTTTTTTTTTTTTTTTTTTTTTTTTTTTTTTTTTTTTTTTTTTTTTTTTTTTTTGTTTTTTTTTTTTTTATATATATATATATTATTATTATTATTATTATTATTATTATCATTATTATTATTATTATTATTATTATTATTATATATATTCGTTGGTTCTCGGCAATTTCCGAGCGTGTTCGGCAAGTCTCGGCGGTTTTCGGGCGTTTTCGTCGGTTCTCGGTGTTTTTTTCCAACCTCGGGATGCTTTCCAATGGCTGCACCTCGCCGAAAGCGTTCCCGGGGTGCAGGGATAGTCCCGAACGGCCGCCACGGGCCCGAATTATGACCCGAAGGCCGAACCTCCTCTCGTTGTGAAACCATATCGAAGGATGGGTCTTGGCATTTTTCGATCTCTGGGGGCCCTCACTGGGCCCCAAGGCCGTCAGAAAGCGGCTCGGGATAACAAGCCCGTCCCGGGGAAAGGAGTCCAGAGGTCCACGTTGTGAAAAGTTAGAGCCTCGCAGTTCTGGGACGCCCCTCGCCCTCTTTCCTCCCCTCCTCTCGTAGCCTCTCGCGACACTCCTCCTCTCGCAGGCGTCCGGATGGTGCCCTGGCGGATGCTGCGCCAAGGTGCTGGGCCGAGCTTCAGGCTGCAGGTTCTGCCAGCACGTTGGTCTGAGGGGCGGGCTGCCCCTGCGCGTAGCCTCGGCCTCAGGGCTTTTCGTTCGGGTCGGGGGCATCGGCCCCTCGCTGCTGAAGCAGCGTGCTTGCCGTTGTCCCTCTCCCCTCCGCCCCAGTCCCTCCCCGGCGGGGCGTTCCCATGCTTTTGCCTGCCCCTCTTTTCCACTTCCTCCGCCTCCTCCTCCTCCTCCTCCTCCTCCTCCGCCTCCTCCTCCTCCTCCCCCTCCTCCTCACTCCTCCCTCCTCCCTCCTGCCTCCTCCCTCCTCCCTCCTCCCTCCCCCTCCTCCTCCTCCTCCTCCTCCTCCTCCTCGCCCTCCTCTTTCTCTGCCTTCTCCTCCTCCTCGCGCCCTCCTCTTTCTCTGCCTCCTCCTCCTCTCCTCTCTCTCCTCCTCCTCCTCCTCCTCCTCCAGTGGTCGGCTACGCCCGATTTTACCTCGGATGGGGGGGGTGCCATCCAGGGGGGGGGGGGAAGGGAAGAATGGTACACGCTTCGGGCCCTGAAGGTCCCTCCTTTGGGCCTTTTAGGGGCCCTGGAGAGCTCCTTTTCTGTAGCCCTCGCTGCCTTCTCATTTTCGGCGGCGAGCCTAGGGGGAAAGTGAGAAGGGGCGGACCTTCTCAGAAGGCTCGATGTTCCCCAGACTTCTGAAAAAAATCCGAATCATTTCCCGAAGACCCCAAAAACATTCCAGAAGGCCAGAGGCCAGAGGCCTTCTGAGAAGCCCCGCCGCCTTCTGAGAAAACCTTCTCCTTCTCACTTCCCCCCCCCTCGCTCCCGGCCGAATTAATCGCGCCCCCCTTACGCGACGCCCATCTCGGGTTTTCAGCCTCGTGCGCGCTTCCACGCAACATCGATAATTTTTCTGCTGCGCGCGTCCCGCCCGCGTATATACTTGCCAACCAATGGTTTGGAACCCAACTGTGTGTGTGTGTGTTCCTTGCCATCGCTCGGCCGTCCATTCCCGTGCTTTTCTCGGTTTCGTGCGTGTTTTTCTCGATGATGCGGGATGCTCCTTGATTGCCCTCGCCGAGCATCAGTGCACACGTCCGAACGATGCCAAGGTGTGTGTGTGTGTGTTTATGCAAGTGTTAGCCATGATAGCTGTGACTTCTTCATCCGCATGTTGCGCTGCTGCTTGGTCCAGGTCTGTTTCCCGCCTGCGTGGTCGACGTGTTTTTTTCTTGCGCACGCCTGGCCCTGTCACTTGCGAAGTGAGTGGTTCGTCCATTCGTTCCGGATCGCTTGCCCGCAGCGCAAGAACGGGAGACGTGCGCTGTGCCTGCAAAAGCCATGTGTGCGTCTTCGTGTGCGGCGGCCTGATACGCGGGAGAGATCTTTTGGTACGGCGGGCTTCCCGGTTATGTGGAGATTTATGTGTGAAGGGAATGGTTTTGAAGGCGTCCCCAGGCTGTCAGCCGACCACGATTGACGAATCCATTGTTCGCGTCCATGACGAGGGTCCAGCGCTCCAGCGCGTTTTCCATTGATGGCTTCTCCTTCCTGGCCGCGAGGAGAAGCTCCCCACGCACCCTCCTGTTTCATACGCTGGACAAGGACTCTCCAACATTACATGTGCCTGTGAGTGCGACTCTGGTCGCTGCTCGCAAGGCTATTTCTTCCGCCCGGGAGAAGGAGGAGGAGGAGGAGGAGGAGGAGGAGGAGGAGGAGGAGGAGGAGGAGGAGGAGGAGGAGGAGGAGGAGGTGAGGGGAGGAGGAGGAGGAGGAGGAGGAGGAGGAGGAGGAGGAGGAGGAGGAGGCGGAGGAGGGAGGAGGGAGGTGGGGAGGAGGGAGGAGGGAGGAGGGGAGGAGGGAAGGGTTTTGCGGAGGGAGGGAGGATGGAGGGAGGGAGGGAGGGAGGAGGCGGAGGAGGGGAGAGGAGGCTGCGGGAGGAGGAGGAGGAGGAGGGGAGGAAGGAGGAAAGGAGGAGGATAAGGAGGAGGAGGAGGAGGAGGAGGTGAGGAGGAGGAGGAGGAGGAGGAGGAGGAGGCGACCTGAGTCCCTCGGCGACCTCAGCCGAGGTCTTTTTCGCCCTCAGCCTAGTGGCGGCCTGGGTCTCTCGGCGACCTTCGGGCTTCTTCAGCCAAACGGGCCGGGGCATGGGTCACATGAGCAGAGGCTTAACCTCACAGCACGATAGCAGTAGGTATTGTTGTAGAAATGGTGGTGGGTAGTGGTGGCAACATCACTTGTGGTCCTGGTCGCGCTCGCAGTGTCGAGCATCGTAGTCATGGAGGGAGACGAGGAGAATGAAGATCAACAGGAGGGTGGCGAGCACGAGGAGGGCTGACAATATCGCCAGGATAAGCAACTCGAATAATAATTATAATACTACCACCAACAATTGACACAAGAAGAATATAATTCATACTACTAAGAGAAAAACGAAAGCACTAAGAACAACACAAGGGGAGGATAAGGAACATGGGACGCGCCTGGCGAACAGAAAGGGCAGGACGAGGAGGAGGAGGAAAAGGAGGAGGAGGAGGAGGAGGAGGAGGAGGAGGAGGAGGATGTTGTGAAGAAAGAGCCCGCCGCCCAGGCGCCGACCGCGCCAGCGGCGGCGCCGGCCGCCGCCTCCCGCGCCACCGAGGCCTCCTCTCCCGACACGCTTTTTTTGTTCGCGCGGCCCCCGGGGGCGGGCCGTCGGCGAGCCTCGAGGTCGTCGTCGTCGTCGTCGTCGTC